ATTTATTATAGGTTCTGGCAACTGACTGGGTGTGTTGGAATGGAATGATGCTCCCCTCCCCCAACACATCTAGTTTAAAGCCTCCTTGACCAGCCTTGCAAGCCTTCTACCAAAACTGCTCTTTCCCTTCTTTATCAGAACAGCTCCACCAGCCCCCACTAGACCTGGCCTACAAGCTTGGGCCCCATGTTCAAGACACCCAAACCCCTGACTATGACACCACCCTTTTAATCATTTATTAACCTGGCTAATCCTCCTAGCTTTTTTTAGGTCCTCCCCTGTACCCTGGAGAACTGATGAAAAGACTGTGTGAACTCCAGAGGCCCTAACCACCTCCTCCAGCGCTCTGTAGTCCTTCCTTATGTTTCCCAGGCTACTACTATCTATGTCCCTAGCACCCACATGTATCACCAGGAGTGGGTAATAGTCCATGGGACTTACTAGAGCAGGCAGCCTTTCTGCCACATCCCTGATCCGTGCCCCTGGTAGGCAGCACACCTCCCTTGAGACGGGGTCTGGCCGGCAGACGAGTGCTTCTGTCCCTTTCAGTGTAGAGTCCCCTACTACTACGACCCGCCGCTTTTTTCTAGCAGCACCAGTAGAGATCTTCTTTACCAGTGCATCAGCCGGCTGTTTCTGGCTCGAGTGCATTTCCTCATCAGCCCCCTGCAGGACAGCAAAGTGGTTCTGCGTGGGGACAGGGGATTTAGGGGGAAGCCCCTCGCTTTTGGTTGTCCTTTTCCTTCTTTTTTTCGTTGTTTTTTTTTTTTTTTTGTCACCAATTCCCAGCTTCCCAGGTTAACGGCCTCCTTCTTTCCTTCATGAGGTAGAGGTGAAGCTCGAGGCCCCTGGACTGTCTGGGCGTGGAGCAAGTATTCCTGCTTCCTCTCAGCTTCCCTGACATCTCGCAGTCTGTTAACAGCATCCCGCAGCTCAGCCACCTGCTGCAGGAGGACCTCCACCAGGGAGCACCGAGTGCAGCCCTGCCCATTGCGCACCCTCACCTCACCAGACCAGTGCAGGCAGTCTCTGCACCCCGAGCTCTGCACTGCAGCCTCCCCTCTCATCGGCTCTGTCTGGGTGCCTACGCTGGCCACCGCCGGGGCAGCCAGAGCAGAGCTCCCAGACCGGGCCCTGATCATACGATGAGCGCTCACCATCCCGCTCACCTGCCCGCGCGAACTGCCGCGCAAGCTACCTCACCGCGCTCCCTGGGGCAGGTTTTTACCCAGTCAGGGCTGGTGCCGCTGCTTCAGGCTCAGCCCCGTGTGAGTCAGCTGCTCGCTCTCGTCAGCTGAGCTGCCGGCTCCTGGGCAGGTCCTGTCGAGGACTTGAGGCTCCCTCGGTTGCTCTTGTCGCTCTGAGTTGAGGCTCCTGGACGCTGATCTCCCCCCCGCTCTGGTGTTGAAGGTGTCCTCTCTCGAGCTACTCACCTCAGCAATTAATTCAGAGCAGAATTAATTCAGAGCAGACCTGTGGAGATATACCTGGAGGCTTTGGTCAGTGAGAAAGTTAACGTGCGCTGGCAGTGTGCGCTTGCAGCCCAGAAAGCCAACCATATCCTGGGCTGCATCAAAAGGAACGTGACCAGCAGGTCAAAGGAGGTGATCCTGCCCCTGTACTCTGCTCTTGTGAGACCCTACTTGGAGTATTGTGTACAGTTCTGGTGACCTCAACATAGAAAGAGCATGAAAGTGTTGCAACAAATCCAGAGGAAGGCCACAAGGATGATCAGGGGACTGGAGCACCTCCTGTATGAGGATAGGCTGAGAAAGTTGGGGCTGTTCAGCCTGGAGAAGAGAAGGCTGCGTGGAGACCTCATAGCAGCCTTCCAGTATCTGAAGGGGGCTTATAAGGATGCTGGGGAGGGACTCTTCATTAGGGACTGTAGTGATAGGACAAGGGGTAATGGTTTAAAACTTAAACAGGGGAAGTTTAGATTCGATATAAGGAAGAAGTTCTTTACTGTGATGGTGGTGAGGCACTGGAATGGGTTGCCCATGGAAGTGTGAATGCTCCATCCCTGACAATGTTCAAGGCCAGGTTGCACAGAGGTTTGGGTAGCATGGTTCAGTGTGAGGTGTCCCTGCCCATGGCAGGGTGGTTGGAACCTGATGATCTTAAGGTCCTTTCCAACCTTAACCATTCTATGATTCTCTGAATCTATGACTTTGAAACAAGTTGGCCTCAAGCACTCTTTTTGCCCCAGAAGTGAAAAGAAATTGTACAGAAGTAGTCTGGCTGACAGCTGTCAAGAATACAAATTGGATTCTTAATTGTTTTTTGGCTTGAGGGGAAAATTAATTAAATACAGTATTTAAGAAAATACTAGCTATTTCCCTTACTAGGTTTCTAAAACTACAAACTGTCTCTTAGCGGGTTTGTGAAACTGCAAAGCCCCTCATATTCCCTTTACCTGTTGTCTGTCAAAAGCTGTCCTTTTCATTAATCTTATTGTTTTCATTATTCTTACTATTAATATCTACAAGCATCTAACTTTTGCTAGTAGATTTATAAAAGATACTTATTCAGTTATTAATTCTTCCAAAAAAGGACTTAACTGATAAGAAACACAGTTAAGAAAAAAAAAACCACAAACAAAACAAAACAGGAAAACCCCAATTCAGACCTTCTACATAAGATTTATCATGAAATATTGATGTAGAAGTGAAACTTTAGCAAACACATAAGGTTGCAACATAGAGTAGCATAAAATAGTCTATCAGAGTCACCTAATTTTTCTACCAAGGAGGAAATAACAAGTTTCTGGAACACCAGCCTTTAGATCATGGTAATGATGATGATGGTGATAATTGTAGCAATCCAATATCCTGAAGACTACTGGGAATAGACCCTAGGATTTTTCTATATATATTACTCTTTAACGTACAGATTCCTAATAACCCTGAAAGTGTGATAGGCACTCCCACAAAAAAAAAAAAAAAAACAACAAACAAACAAAACAAAAAAAACAAACGTAATTCAATCGATCAGTTGATTGATGGATCACTCCATCTACCCGTCTATTTTGTTTCCGTTAATAAAATAGTGCAAACAATATCAGTATTTTAACAGCATTTTATAAAGAGATAGTTAAGAACCTTTAAAGCATCTTTGGCAAATCTGATGACATTTTAATAGACTGGAAGCTTTTATTTCACTCTATTATTTATCTAACTGCTTTTGCTGATAGCTACATGAGACACAGTGTGCATAAGTACTTCTTATGGCTTTGATGTTACACAGGACTTAGAAACACCCTAGAGGCATGAGTTGCATGATTATAGTGGTGTGTGGTTTGATTACTGGGGGAGGGGGGATGTATTTATATGTGTATGTGTGTATATGAATTCTAATTAATTGTAAGTAGTTCCTAACAGATGTATAATAAAAAGTCATAACACTGAAAAAGCTTAAGATAAAACAAGGTCAATAAAATAAATGCTTCTTCCTAAAGAAAGCTGCTTAAGAACTTCAAGAACTTTGAGGATATGAACAGCCTGTTAATGTAAACAGAATTAATCCAGTGAAAAGCTAAACAAGTTTTTTGAAATTAATGTTGAAATGCTTTACGTGTATAAATTTTAGATACAAAAATGCTGCTTCAGAAAATGAAAATATCTACAAAACTGAGATCTATTGAAAGATTTGAAAAATGGAGATAGAGGAATAAGACTCTTAACTGTTCTAAGAGTAACACCATTTGTGCCTGATGCAAAACACACACTTTTTCTTCAAAGGTATAACAAAGATTTGACCTGAACAAACCTTTCACAAGAGATGTGATACCCAAAATAAAGAAAAGATTAATCAGTGCAAGCTAAGCACAATAGTTAAACTTACCAAGCATAGGTACTTGTGTGACAATGAACTAAGGGTATCTAAAAGCCTGATTCTATCCAGTGTCTTAAAAGAAGGCACCTTCCACTGACAGGGGGGGAGTGAATATTGTATAGCAGTTAATGTCAGTCATTTCCAAGTTTAAGCTATCTTTTTAAGACTAGAAGGTACTAGTCAAATTATTCATGTCAACATAGTGAACAGCAAACCACTGATCTAAAGGTATATTTGATGGTGAATTAAGTAAAAAAGAATGCCTTTTACTGAGCTGTCCTTATTTCAGATGAAAGGATAGTTAGTTTACTTCCTAGTAGCTGCTACAGAGTGATGTTTTGGCTTTAGTCTGAGAACAATGATGGTAACTTACCAATGTTTTAGTTGTTGCTAAGTAATATTTACCCTGATCAAGGACTTTTCAGTTTCACATGCTCTGCCAGTGTGGAGGGGCACATGGACCTGGGAGGAAGCAGAGACAGGACACCTGACTGAAACTAGCCAAAGGGGTATTCCATACCGCAGCATATCATGCCCACTATACAAACTGGGGGAAGCTACCCGGAAGGGCCAAATCACTCAGATCACTGCTTGGGTATGGGCTGGATATTGGTCAGTAGGTGGTGGGTAATAGTATTGTGCAACACTTGTGTTTGTTGGATTTTTGGGGGAGGAAGGGGGATGATATAATTTATTTTTTTTTAATTTCCCTTTTCATTATCACTATTATGATTAGTACTAGAGTTTTTTGCACTTTATTTTAATTATCAAACTGTTCTTATCTCAACCTATGAATTTCACCTTTTAATGATTCTCTTCCTTATTCCACTGCAGGGGAGCTGAGGAGTGTGAACCAGGGGCTGTGTGGCACATAGTTGCCACTGGGGTTAAACCACAACATGAGGCAGTGTAGGAAAAATCCAAAATAAAGTAAAAATTATTTGATTTTGACATTGAACTTAGCTAACTTCAGCTTGTCCTTGTTTCAATTTACTGAGTAAAACATCTTTTAGTGCCAGAGTTGATCCTAAAAATATCCTATATTCTATAACGTTTCAAGATCCTAAAGCTATCCTAAATTATATCCTAAAATTTGTTTTAAAAAGACATACTAATAGACTAATAAACATAATTATAAACACAGTAACAAGTGTATTAATAAACATAGTAACAAGCAGAGTAACAATGATAATATCAAGAGCCGGAGGCCAGCTCCCCACCTGGGGAGATGCTCCAGTGGGTGGGGATTTGCTGGTGGAGCTGAGGAGTGAGCCAGCAAGGCCTCCTGCGAGGGCTGGGATGGGTCTGAGGGCGCTGCTCTGGCTCCAGGGCAAGGTGGTGGAACCTTCTATCCAGAGCAGGACATGGTGGTTCTGTCCTTGCCGCTGCCGAAATGGTGCTGGGGCCGCGGGGTGGAACGCCAAGGCCAGGAAGCAGAGTGCATGCGGGGAATCCAAAGCAGTAAATGGGCACCTACAAGGGCAGAGTCAGAAAGCACTGATGAACCCATGAAGGCAGGAGCAGGAGGGAACTCCTGGGTTTTTCGGAAGTATGCTGTAAAAGAGGTCGTTGCTAGCACAAGAGAGAGGCTCCTTACTGGTTCCTAACTGACAACTACAGTGTTGCTTTTGTCCCTTCTCAATACATGTGATACCCTCAGAGCATGGAAAGTTGACAGAGATGTGCAGTGCCACCCTGCCAGGCAGCAGGGCTCGGCAGGGAGCCTGGGAAGCTGGGATATGGTCCTTTCCAAAATCCAAGCAGCAGCATCCCTTGCTTTGCCATACTAAAATCACAGGTTGGCAGGCAATGCTGGGGTAGTATGTTTCGCCTGACATACATGTTTCCCCGAGGGCAGGACCATGCTGTGCACCTCAGGAGTGTTTCCTATACTCAGAGCTTGGCAAAAAGATGGAACACAGGCTCTGCTACGTACCTGGGTGCCCTGCTCTTCCCCTGCTTGAATTTCTTCAGTTGCCTATCTCTGAGAGCTCAGTTTTGCTCTTCTTCTGGCATAGTTGCCCGTCGCTGCCCTCTTCCTAGGCTGCTCTTCGTTTCCTGGTGTTGCGTGAAGAGCCTGAGAACCTTTCCATTCAATAGTATTGTGAGACAGGTGAAGCCATGATTACCCTGAGCCAAGCAAAGCCAGGCAGTTTTACCTTTCCTCCCCAGAAAAGCTCCTCTGCTGTTTGCTCCTGGGAGAAACAGGAGGCACCTGCAATGGCAATGTGTAGGTTAGCAGGGGGCAAGGACCTCCATGCACAATTGCTCTGAAAGGCACATTCCTTGGATGGGTTTGCTCAGCTCAGCTGAGCCAGCTGTGTTGGGATCACCTCACAAAGCAGGATGGCCAACCTGCATCAGCCTTGCTCTGCACTTTGACAGAGTTGCAGGCTGGTGGATGACCGTGCTTGTCCCTGCAGCAGCAGCCCCACCTTCTGAGGAGGGAGGCTTTTGTTGTCACACTTCTTGTGCACTTCACTTACCTCTGCTGTTTCCAGCTCTGCTTGTGCTGCTGGTATCTCCTCATCCCCCTTGCTGGCCAGCCTAGCCACCTGCTCTCCAAGGAGTTTCTCATGGTGGTCAATAAGGAACTCGATGTGCTGCGTCACCTGCACACAGCAAACCCCTGGATTCACTGAGAGGGCTGATGAGGGCTCAAACAGCCTTTCCCAGCCTGACCTGTGCTTCTGTGCAGGAAGGTGCAGCCATGGGGCTGTTCTTCTCAGCTGCTGACCCATGGATTTGCTGACTGGAGAAGGCAGCCAGGGACCTCTGAGCAGCAAAGATGGGCTGGGCTGGGGACCAGCCCCAATGCCAGTGGGAAGTGCTCCCCAGAGAGAAAAGCTTTTTGGTACCTCTTTCCTCCCAAACCAAAACCCCACAGCAGCAGGAGGTGGCTTGCAGGAGCCATGGCTATTTCAGGCAGGCCACTGCTATGCACTGGAATCCCAGCCTGTGCCAGTCCCTGGTGGCTGCTGCAACCCTTACTCTCTCAGTGCTGCCAGCCTATCGTGCCTGCTGGTCTTCTCCATGGCTCTCATCCACTCTTCGTATAGCTGGATTTCCAGGAGCTTGGAGAGGATGTTCCAGAGGAGGTCCTGCAGTGCCAAGGGCTCCGCGTGAGGCTTTGGCCACTGCACTCTTGGTGCATCCGCAGCATCCCCAGGCCTCTGGCTCATGAGCAGGCAGCTGGGTTTCTGCTTGTGCTCCCACAGGTGCCCATCAGCACCAAGAGAGCCAGGAGCTGCAGGGCTCTGGGTCAGCAGGGCTCACCTTCAAGAGGACAGCCAGCAGCAGCACGGGCTGGGTTTCCAGCTGCACTGGCACCCCACTGTCCAGGGCCTCCCTGACCTTGTGGCAGGCATGCTGGCTGGCTGCCAGCCGGAAGATCCCCTCCGTGGATGGGCCATGTTCATTGAGCAGAGCCAGAAGGTCCTGAGGGCACAGAGGAGAAGAGTTGCTGGGCTGGAGACAGGCGCTTAGATAGGTGCTGGGGACAGCCTCTCCCTGGAAGAGCCAACAGGATGGGATAGGATGGGATAGGATGGGATGGAATGGGATGGGATGGGACGGGGACCCCCACAACCAGTCTGGCTTGCCTGGATGGGCTGTGGCAGCATGCCATCCTGGATGCAGAGATCTGCCAGGGATTGGCCAAAGAGAGCTCCCACACCAGCAGAGCCTGATGGCCCTGGTGCCCCTACTGCAGCCAAGCAGCCTCCTCCTGCTCCTGCGTGTCCCACCTGCTGCCAAGGGAAACAGAGTAAAGAGCTGTGGAGGAGAAGTACCAGGAGAGCCCTCCCAGACTCCCCCAGTGCTGTCCCCCCACCACCAAGGGCACGGGAGACTCAGCATCATTTGGAATCTAGTGGCCCTGGGGCTCAGCTCTCTCCTCCTGCAGAGTGATGGGGATGGACGTGCCCTGCGGGAAGGGCAGCAGCATTCCCATTCCCACACATGTGCCAGCCTGCAAGAGCAGGAGAGAAGGGCCATCCTGCCCCTGTCTTCTCCACACTCACCATCCATGTGGCCACGTAAACCCTCACTACTGGAGAGGACAGGAACTGGCAGCTGCCTGGCACCGGCCTGCAAGAAATGGACTGCACTCACCAAGGAGCCCCACAGCAGAAAGGGTCCCTGGACAGCTGCATCAGCCTCTGGCTGTGTGTGAGAAGTGGGGATGGGTGAGATTGCACTGCAAGGGACCCTGACCTGGACTTGACGCTGGAACAACTTCTCCACGCTGCTGGCATCCAAGAGCAGAAGGTGAGGAGCGATGCAGCTGATGCTGGGCTGGAGGAGCCCCTGGGGACAGAGCAGAGGCAGGAGGGACACTCACAGCATGGTGGCCACTCAGCTCCTTCATCACCACCCTGATGGATGGCAGCTGGGTCACCCGGGCTCCCTGAACTTCTTCCTGTGGTCTGTGCATGGGGAAGGGGGAGAGAAAGAGCTGTGTGAGACCCAAGCCAGCTCTTCTCTCTGCTGCCAGACTGGGGATCACTTCCACAGTCAGGAACAGCCGGTGCCACGCAGCAGTGGAGCAGGAGCAGCGGGAGTGGCGAGGATGGGGCTGGGTAGGTGTTGTTTGGACACAACTGGATGAAGCAGCTCTGCCAACTGTGCCTGCTCAGCAGTGGGGGCACCTCTGCCTGAAGCTGTGGGGCACCTGTGCCCAGCTCAGCAGAGGTGTTTTCTCATTGTTCGGATGCCAGTCATGGAGCATCCCCCTACGATAGAAGCATGGGCAGCCCAGGCTGCAGTGCCAGGCAGGGCTTACCCAAGGAGGGTGCTGACCCAGAGTTCCTTCACTACTTGGGAGCTGCCAAAGAAAAAGAGGAGAAACAGCCTCAGTGCCTGCTGTGCCCCAGCAGATGATGCTCCATGAGGCAGGGCAGAGGAGCTGCCCACAAAAAAGAGAAGAAACATCCTCAGTGCCTGCTGTGCCCCAGCAGATGATGCCCCATGAGGCAGGGCAGAGGAGCTGCCCACCCCTCTGATGGGATGTTGCACCGAGACTCAACAGAAGGGGATGACGCAGGAGCCACAGGGCCAGAGGAAGACAAGGGAGCCTTGGCCCCAAGGTCTCCTGCTTTAGAACTGCTGTGTCCACCAATGGAAAGTCACTGCCCCTGCAGCCATGGTCTTCCCACTCACAGGACCTGGGGAGCCCCAGGTCTACCATGAACACTGAAGACTGAGGCAATGCAAAAACATTAAATGCCTCTGTCTTTTCTTCATCCCCACTTTTCAGTGGCCACCTTCGTAAAGTAAAGGTCCAAAACTTCCCTTAGGCCTCCGCTTGTTATTAGCATACTTCAAAAAGCCTTTTGTTGTTGTCTGACAGAACACTGACCAGTTTCATCTCCAGTTGAGCTTTGGCCTTTTGTGATGTCTCCCTCCATGTGTGAGCCACAGCTCAGTATGCTTCCTGAGAAGTTTGACCTTGCTTCTAGAGAGCATACAATTTCTGTTCCCATCCCAGTTCCAGGAGGAGTTCCAAGCTGCTCTTCTGCTGCACCTGCTTGACTTCCATTGACACAATGGGAGTGCTGCTCCTGTGCTTTCAAAAGATGGTTCTTTAAAAGCGAGCAGCTCTCATGGTCCCCTAAGTCCTCAAAAGCTCATGCCCAGGAGAGTCTGCCAAGTAGGTCCCTCTGCAGCTTCAGTTTTGCTCTCTTGATACCCAGGGTAGCAACTCTGCTGAACTTTTCCCTCATGACACCCGAAAGTCTGAGTTCAACATCTTTGGGATTAGGGTGGCCAAGACAGCCTCCTACCATCACACCTCGCATGCATCCCTCTTGATTCACAAAGAGCAAGTCTAGGAGGGCAACTTTCCTAGTTGGCTCACTGAGTACTTGTGGAAAGAAGCTGCCTTCCTCAGACTTCAGGAAATCTGCAGCCTCACTTGTCCCAGCAGTGACAGTATGGTATTGCCAGCTGAGGTGTGGGAAATTGAAGTCTCCAGAAGGACAAGAGCTACGTATCCAGAGATTTCTCCTAATTGCCTATATATGCCTATACATGCCTATATATGTGTCTTCGTTTAAGCCCAGCCGGTAATTCAGAACCACACAGCCGCTGTTTCTCCCTCCCTTCTTCCCACCCAATACTCCGCTCCCAGAGAGATGAGAAGGAGAATCAAAAGAATGTTACTCCCATCGGTTGAGATAAGAACAGCCCAGTAACTAAGGTATAGCACAAAACCACTACTGCTACCACCAATAATAATGATGATAAACGAAATAACAAGGGAAGAGAATATAAAAGTGGGAAGGAGAGAAAACAACAAACAGCAACAATGCACAATACAACCGCTCACCACCTGCCGATCAAAACCCAGCCTGACCCAAGTAGCTATCTGTACTTTGTGGGTAACTCCCCCCAGTTTATATACTGGGCATGATGTGTTGTGGTATGGAATAACCCTTTGGCTAGTTTGGTCAGGTGTCCTTGAGCTTCTCCAC